CTTCCTCCCTCCCTCCCTCTCATTTCCATCTCCTTCCTTCCTTCCTTCCTTCCTTCCTTCCTTCCTTCCTTCCTTCCTTCCTTCCTTCCTTCCTTCCTTCCTCTGCCTTTCCACACCAAAGACAAATGTGCCCTTCCCCTGAAAAAAAGTTTTCACTCTCATTCTAGAATGGCAAACTCCAGCCATGGTGTCAATTTAGACTCTCTTGGAAGAAAATCACTTCAGATGCAAACAGTCGTCAATAATCCCAAGGGGCCCACAGTGGGCCAGATGTATGTTTCATCCAAGGGACCATATATTTATTTTTGAGGCTTGTTTGAAGATGTTTCCACGTGATAACTTATTCACCTTTGCTGTTAACTATAAGACCTGGCTGGGTGCTCTGTTAGCGTTAGGTGAACCAATAGTAACGCAATTGAATTCATACAAAGCTACAAAAAACTGATGAAAGAAATTCTTTTTATTCTTCCAACACAAATTGAGTTTGTTCAAGAATTGACAAAAACTGCTACTGGGACAATTCAATTAAATGTATTAAGACAAGTAGCTTCAGCTAAACATGCACAAATGTTTATCTCTCTTCAGCCTATCTCCCCTTCCATAATAATTGATTATTCTAGAATTTGAAACAAAATGATTCAGAAAACTAGACTTCCCAGATTTGGAACTTCTGAATTATTCATTCTTACTTCCAGAGAAGAACTAATCAGGCTGCCTTTTTAAAAATCTCTACGTAACTCTAAAATAATAATTATTGCATTCATATGAACACATATGAAATTTTTTAAATTTCATGAATTTCTCCTACCAATTTTATCTCCTGTTCAATAGCTTTTGAATCATGAATGTCATCATCCATGTTTTGGGTTGTATTTTTAGTTCGTTTGGGTTTTTTTCACTGTATTGGGTTATATGCTAGTTTTAATTTTTTTTCCCCCCTGATTTTTATTGGCTTGTTTTAGTATAATTCCATGATATTGCAAACAGTTGTGACTTTTTTGACTGCAGCAGGTAGAAATGGAATAAATTAACTTTATATGCAGCTCTATAACAGAGTACTTTTTTTTTTAATTAAGCAACTGCTATTACTCCTACTGAACATATTGCTTGAGCAATAGACTGAACGCCTGTTTAACCTTCTGTCCTGCCACTACCTTATCTTCAATGTCTTGCTTGCAAAAATTTAACTTTTTTAGCAAGGATCAGATGTACTCAGATCAGAATAATCAGTCTTAGATGCAATGGGAGACTTCAATAAAGATTGAAGGGATCTTGTCCCACCATCCAGGTTATCAGTGCTATGGAAGACATCACCTTGAGGTGTCTGGATTAAATCATAGCTTAATTTAGTGTTCTGACCATAGCAATAAGAAAGCATGAAAGGGGCAGGAGGGAAGAGAAAGATCGGTTGAATGACTGTGAGACCCAAGATCCCAAATGACCTAGTTACATTGCTGAATAGGAAAATCAAGCTTCAAAGAAAGACGGTTGTCCAGTTTGTGGAGTCCACAGGACTAACTCAAATCCCAAAGACATATAACCCTTGGACGCAGGGGTTGGCGTAAGAAAAGAATCAAGATAATAATAAATCTGTGCACTGTTTGCCATGGTTATTCATATCCCAGAGTTCATAGTTTCCTCCTTTACAATGTGGCTGGATTAGAAGGAAGAGACAATTTTAGGGTAATCTTTTACAACCATGTCAGTTATTAAAGGAAAGAAACAGTCAACTGACTCAATGTATGTTTTGGTCTGCATCATATCCCTCAGCTATGGAAGCACACCTCAGGGGCACGTTGTCTGTATAGTTTTCTCCAGGGAAAGCTGACGTGCATTTTTGAACCACCAGACAACTTGAAAGGGCAACCAGCATAGCAACGAAGTTCTTTTTTCACCAGTTTTGGGTTCTTCATCCAGCTTCTTCACTAGCACAACTTGCAGGTCAGTCTATGTGCAGACCAGCCTCATGTTCCATTTTCAATTTGAACCAAACGTGTTCCATTTAGTATCATTTTCCAGCCTGTGATTTAAGTTACGGTGGGTTAGTAGAAGTATTGCCTCTGGGGAGTACTAGCTTCCTGAGTTAGATGTTCATTCCCCAGATTGCTCCCAAATCATCAACAGGATATTGACAACTTTAGCTGAAATTGATTGATTACGTGCCATCAAGTTGTTGCTGACTCTTAGTGACCACATAGATAGATCTTTTCCAGATGATGTGTCCCTAACCTGGTTCTTCAGCTTTTCTAACAGTGCACTCGTTTAGCTGAAACGGTGAATATAAAAATTGCAACAAGAAATACATGTGAAGAACTTTGATTTCCCCCCTGATTTCTTTACTAATTATTTATGATCTTGCCATTTTTAATCTCCCCCATTCTTGTAGACTATGTCTCTAGAGGTTAATATTTACTAACTCCACTGCATTTTTTTTCTTTTTTCCCAGCCATGAGAACTTCACTTTCTTTCTTCACGATATGGAAACAAATCCCTAGATTATTTCCCAGATACTCGAGGCATCTCAGCTCTCCCATATGTGCACAGTATGAAGCTGTAAGCCATGGACAGCACCAATTACCAGATTATTTCAACTTTGCAAGCGATGTACTGGACAGATGGTCACAAATGGAAAAGGTAAAGTGTTTTTCTTTAAAATTAGGACTCTGTCTTTCTTTGCTTCTAAAGTATCACCATCACTCTGAATGGGCTTTGTGACACCAACACTTAATCCTATCCTTTTGCTCTGTAATGGCACTTGATATAGCTATCCCACCTATGTGATTTCATGGTGAGTTGGGATCAAGCAGCAGCTCCAAGGAATCACATCCCCATTTGAAAAAGGGAAAGGGAACCTTGAATAAACCAAGCTAGCAGACCAGAGTCAGGTGCAGAACGATGCATGAGTTTCTGTCTGACAGGCTGTGCTCACATAAAAAAAATTAATTTACCCCCATATCATGAAGTTCCAAGAGAAGACCAAATATTTATCTCTCTCTTTTGTTGGATTCATTTTGTAGGATGGAAAAAGATCGTCCAACCCAGCCCTGTGGTGGATAAATGGAAGAGGAGGTGAGGTGAGGTGGAGCTTTGAAGAGCTGGGATTCCAATCCAGGAAAGTGGCCAACATACTCACAGACCGATGTGGACTACGCCAAGGCGACAGAATCCTGGTCATTCTATCCCGGATTCCAGAATGGTGGCTGGTGATGGCAGCTTGCATTAGGACAGGTCAATAAAAAAAAAGACATTACAATCAGCAAAGTAGGACAGAGAATGACCCAAGGAAGCAATTGTGGTCAGACCAACTTTTGAAGTCAGCTTTCAATTCTTGATCTGGCCAGGCTTCCACCTGCTTCCAAAACTTCCAAAACAAAAAGTGATAGAACTTCTAAAACAAGCATAGGCTCATCTCTGACAACCAATTAATATTATCAACCTTGCAGGAATTGTCATCATCCCTGCAACATCTCAATTAACTGCTAAGGACATAGAGTACAGACTCCAAGCTTCGGAAGCCAAATGTCTCATCACTACAGATGCCTTAATACCTGTGGTGGATTCCATTGCCCCAAAGTGTAACTTCCTGAGAACCAAACTGATGGTATCTTCTGAAGGCAAGCGAGAAGGATGGTTGAACTTTGGTGAATTGCTTAGGTGAGTAGCTTGGATAGCTTATTTTCCCAAGATGCATAGTTGCAAATTCATGAGAGATATCATTCCTCACACAGCGATCTTTCCTTGTGGTGGGACATGAAAGAAACACACCTTGAAGGCAGTTTGGTTTCAGCATTGCTGTCTAAACATTTTTCCCAAGCTTGATTCAAGATGCTGATTTTTAAGGTCAAATTAGATTCACACTGGAGTATATCAAGAACTGCATTCTCAGATGGAAATATACTGAAGGAGAGAAGCCAAAATTGGAACCCCTGTTTTCTATGCAGAAAGTTCAAGGTTCATCTCACAGCATCTCTAAATAAGATTCAGTAAGCCTTAGTTAGAAGAGATAATCTGTCTAAAAACAAACAGTATCTTCAAGCCAGAATACAAATAGGGGGATGGATGGATGAATACTGTGACCTGATATTAAGCAATATTAATGTCATATGGGGCTTGAACTTGATTGCTTCAATAATCTGTCTTTCTAACTTTTTCAACTGGTGGGATGTTGTTTATTGCACAGAGAAGCGCCTGACAACCACACTTGTGTGAAAACAAAGATGCATGATCCCATGATGGTTTATTTCACCAGTGGAACCACAGGGAATCCCAAGATGGTCGAACACACTCAAGGAAGTCTAGGGTTCAGACCCATCATTGGTAAAAGGTATAAAAGAAACCCCCTCAAAATACCAGTGAAAATTCATAATAGTGAATTCATTGTTAGACATGCTGGATATTAACATAAATAGGCAAATATATGGTCAGTATATTATTATTCTTTATAATTAAGTAATACTGTTATATTCAGAGGCTGTATGTTACCTGACTTAATATGACTGCTTAAAAAGCAAATGTTAAAATGTTGGCTTTAGATGTAAGGGTATGAAATCCAATGGGAAACATGGGCTGATCACTACCCGTCAACCTAACCCAGCATACAAGGTTATTGTGATGGTTAAGGTGGGGAAGCAAGCAACCACTGAACTCTCCAAAAGACAATCTAGAGAAAAATGTAATGCATGAAAAAAGTGCAAGTAGCTAAGACATCAACCATCAACATCCTTGAATACGACTTATCAATCATTGAGTCAAACTCATCACGTCGAATGTCTCTGAACTATTTAGTTGACTTTAATGCCAAATGTGTCTTAATTAAGTATAATTTATCAGTCAGTTCCATTCCATCAGTTCCATCAAACATTTCCATTTCATCCATTCCATTCAGGGTAATTTTCAATGATCAGCTTTGTGGACCATCAGATTGCTCATCGCAATTTAATGTTCTTTGTTTGATCAGATACTGGCTGGATGCAACCCCTTTGGACGTGGTATGGAGCACAGCAGATACTGGCTGGCTGGTTGCTATCTTGGGCTCATTTTTTGATCCATGGGTTTCTGGATCATGCGTCTTCATCCATAGCCTACCACAATTTGAGACAAAGACCATCCTAAGTGTAAGATGACATTTCTTGGGCAAATTTGCTCATGCTTATTTATTTATTGACGGAGCCAATATGGCTGCCTATCTCATATAATGAACCTAGGTGGCTCACAAGAAATATTTGAAGATTATTTATCATGTGACTCAATAAATATTTGGGTTTAAATGAAGTGTGGGCAAGAAATAACTAAGGAAAGTAAAGATTTGCTCTAACCTTCCTCAGTTCTTGAGTTGCTTGATATACCCATGTAATTTTACTTAGATGGTAGACCACCAGCAAATACCAGAACAATAGGCTAGATTAGGGAGTTAAAAAAAATAATAAAGGAAGATAATGGTAAGTCATTGTTGTACTGTACCACTGCCAAGAAAACTGCATGCTGCAGAAGTCAAGCTACACTCATGAGTGTCTTCCTATCTCTCCAGCAGAGAAGATGTACAGATACATCTTCTGGTAGGTTAGATGAAGAACCTTCAACCTCACCTTAGTGTCTTATCATTTCTGTGCATCAGCTCATTTGTGTCAGAGCCCAACACAATTAACCTAAAGCTGAATATATCAACCATTGGGTTAGTTCAGTGTGTAATTGATACACCACCTTTGCTTGGCTTCTTTTTATAATCTTGTATTTCTTTTTAGACCCTCTACCAATTTCCAATCACCATTTTTGTGAGTCCTCCTACCTCGTTTCGCATGTTCTTGAAGGAAGATCTCACCAGGTACGCTGGGAAGCAACTTTAAAAAAAAAAAGGTTTTGTAAGGATTTACCTCCTTTCAGAATCCATTTTGAAGCTTGCAATTCTAACCTGCTCCAGAGGTTCTCAGAAAGGTTAAGCTTAGGTTGTCTTCTGTGTTAAGCCGTAGGTTGATTTTCTTGGTATTGGCTTAGTGTGTTCTACAAATCCAGCCATAGTTGCTTGTAAATCATGTTTTCTAGTTGAGCTTGAGGAGAAAACTCAGTTGGTTGTGATTTATTTAAAAAACAGTAATAAAAGATCCATGGCTTAACACAAAGTGAGCTTGGCTTAACACTCCAAATATGACCAAATAGAAGTTCAGTGAGAAGATGGCGATTTGAAGGTTCTATGTTGAAGCTTCCACCAAGAGTGGTTTCTTTCTTCACTGGTGCAGTTGTCCCCTCCTTATCCTTGTTAATGTTTCCTAGAATGAGCCTCATTCTTAATAATGGCTCTAGCAGAAATCTTTTGATGGTTTTTTTATAACCTGCCCCAGAATATTAGTGTCCTTTTCTCTTCTTTTATACATTCTCATTAAGATACAAATTCATGAGCCTGCAATACTGTATAAGTGGAGGAGAACCATTAAACCCTGAAGTGATGGAACAGTGGAAAAACAAGACAGGAGTGGACATCTATGAAATATATGGACAGACAGAAGCAGTAAGTTCTATTTAATTTATCATGACATTCTCACAATTATTTTAAAACACTGTAAAACTCCCAGATATGTCTAGAGCAGTGTTCCTCAACCTCAGCAACTTTAAGATATGTGGACTTCAACTCCCAGAATTCCTCAGCCAGCATTCTGGGAGTTGAAGTCCATACCACTTAAAATTGCTGAGGTTGAGAAACACTGGTTTAGAAAATGGATTACTGGTTTACTGTTAGAAGAAGGGAAAAGAAGAAAATTTACATTTGACATATCTATAGTAGTTTGGTGGATTTTGGCTTTCAATGTTTTAAATACTTCCTATTCAGAAGATATTTTATATTTTGGGGCACAAACTCTAGGCACTACTGAGAAAAAAATAGTCAAGGTAAGTAGGAATCCAGTTTTAATTGATTTAAAATGATTTCTTGACCAAAGTATATGTCACAATTAAACTCTTGAGAATGTGTGACGGGGTGGAGGGCAATCCTCTACATAACCCTTTATGAGTAAGCTTATTGAAATCACTAAGACTTCTCTGTGAATATGTGTGGGCCAAGTTGTATGTGCTCCCAAAACCATGGAGAAAATGAGAATGCCATGTCTGTCTATCTGTCTGTCTCTGTGTATATATTTCTTATAAAGTCATCTTTTTCATACAGGGCGTAATTTGTTCAGTTTCCAAAAAAATGAAAATTAAGCCCGGCTCAATGGGAAAGGCAGCTACACCTTATGATGTTCAGGTTGGTACTTTCAATCTTCTTCTTTGTATTAGTTTTCAAATTAAATACATTCAGCACACCAAAATGGATTATATCAAAATGAAGGCTGGTGGTTGAGTGGCTTTCTTCTTTTCTAGATTGTAGACCAAGAAGGAAATATTTTATCTCCTGGGGAAGAAGGTGAAATAGCTGTCAGAGTGAAGCCCAAAAGACCACTTGGTCTGTTCACTCAGTACATTGTAAGTAAACTCTCTTGTAGCCTTGGAGAATCCCAGTAACTCTTTAAGGCTTGGGAAGATCCCTTATTTAATAGAAATTGGTGAATCTGTCACAAACTTCCTTAATTTTGCTCAAGTTTTTTCGAGTTCTTTTTATCTCTCCCTGCAAAAAAAAAAAAAAAATCAGATAAGTCTTGAGAGTAAATTAGACAATATGTGGAAATTTGTATGGGAGATCCATTTTACTGACACATCACAGTGGGCCAATGGTACTCTCTCGATTCACTACAGTTGAAATGATAGTTAAATGGCTAACTGCATCTTTCTAAAATGTTCTCATTAGAATGCTCCCAAAAAAGCAGCTATGTCAGAACAAGAGGACTTTTTTCTCACTGGAGACCGAGGAGTGATGGATGAAGATGGATACTTTTGGTTTATAGGACGAGCTGACGATATCATCAACTCTTCTGGGTCAGTTTCCTTTCTGTGGTTGTTCATAGCTTCACCCTCCAGAGTTAAGAGAGCAGCTTACAATTTTGCAAAAATAAAGCGATAAGGCGAACATCAACATGTCACCTACAAATCAATGCTCTCTTTGAAGAACAGCTAAACCTGGGTTCCCTTCAGCACCATGATCAACTGGTGAGGTCTACCCAGATTTTCCTTCCATTTGTTCTTTCTCATGGAGTTTCCGTTGAGATCAGACCCCGAATGAGAACTTGAATAGGTGATCTGAGTTGAGATTGAACATTGCGATAGACCTGCAGGTCATTAGCCCACACCAGTGGTCTCCTACTCCAGTAATCTGAGCTTCTGAGAAGAAAATGCAACAATCTGCTTAGCAGGATAGGAAATACTCCTGCAGGCTTGTAACTTTTCTGGGTTGATCTACAAGGCGGTATTGGAGTGCTGATTGAAGAGTCACTAGATACTTTATGCCCCAAAACCCAGCATCCTCTTTCATCTCCCTAGCAAAACCAATGCAGATTTTAGAACCATTTGCCTCCTAGTTTATACATTTCCCCAGTATTAATTGCTTTGGATTCTTTTTTCCTAGGTATCGTATCGGACCATTTGAAGTAGAAAGTGCGCTCTTGAAGCACCCAGCAGTAGCTGAAGTAGCCGCTGTCAGCAGTCCAGATCCAATCAGAGGAGAGGTAATAAGACCCATTCCAGCAATAATCTCTAGATCAGTATTTCTCAACCACGGCAACTTTAAGATTTGTGGACTTCAACTCCCAGCATGCTGGCTGGGGAATTCTGGGAGTTGAAGTCCACACACCTTAAAGTTGCCAAGGTTGAAAAACACTGCTCTCTACACTAAAATTAAGAGAGGGTGGATTGGAATCACCACTCATTCGTTCATTCACTTTATTTATGCACCACCAAAAATGTAAGGGACTCCCAGCATTTATAGTCATAGATGAACAATTAAAACCTCCATGGCAGGTGGTAAACAATGGTTAAAACATCCACCATAATAACATCATAATCAGTAACAAATTAATATCAGTCAGATGATGATGACAGAGCAAATCAGAACCTAAATGACAAATAACGGAAAATAATAGAAATATGATTTGCATTAGATTAGCAAGGTTTCCACTCTGTAGGGTTAGCATGATTGGTAGGGATTTTCAACAAGGGAACATGGTTCTAAATGAATAATTGTTTGTAAGAAACCACAGAGATGCATTTGAAACCCCCATGACCTTATTTCTGCTATTGCAAACCTTGGTTCAAAATGTGCTCCAAAGTATGTTACCCCTTCATTTTAGCTATAGCTTGTTAGCCCTGGGCTCTTCTGCTAACGTTGCATTGATACTTAACAGATATTTGAAAAATGCATTGATTAAACCAGCCAAAATGATGCCAAAGAGAATGCAAGCTTTTTGGAATTCTTTGTTGGGCATGGTGGGGAAAAAGCAAAAAAGCCAACATTAGCCCAGATTTACATTTCAAACTCAGCCTTTTTAAAATGTATGTGTTCATTTATTCATTAGATTTATCTTCCACCTTTCCCCCAGAAGCTCAAGGTAGCAAACATAATACTCTTTCCTCCTATTTTTTCCCCCAAACCACCCTTCCTGATAGGTGAGGCTAAAAGAGAATGAAAGACCCAAAGTCACCCAGTAAGGTTTCATGGTTGAAGTTGAAGTTGAACCCAAGTCTCACTGCTCCTGGTCCAACCCCTTAAACACTGCACCACTCTGGCCCCCAGTCTTGATGGAGGTTGTAATACTGAACACATTTGTAGGATCAGCTGAAATTGGAAAGTTTGTCCCTCCGTGCCAGGAGAAAACTGACATTGATTGAAAAAGACTTCCATCTTTTTTAGTCATTAAGAAATAAACTGAACTGAACTTGGTGAAGCTGGTTTCTAGATCATGTGCTTAGGATTGTCCTGTAAGGTTGATCTGAGGTGAAATCATGTACTTTTCAATCTTCCACCTTTGGAAGAAAGATGGACTAAATAGAAGACCCCATCTTCATTACATTCTTCTATTGATGTACTCTGAAATTTAGCTTTGGAGAACTTTAGAAAGTTTCAGAAGTGATAGGAAACTTTAAGAAAGGAATCTTATTGTTTTGGTGTACATTGGCATTTTCCATCTCTGCTTTTTAGGTAGTAAAGGTGTTTGTGGAGTTGTCTACGAGCTATTCAACGCAAGACAAGGAGAAATTAACCCTGGAGCTACAGGAACATGTGAAAAAAATGACTGCTCCATACAAATACCCAAGAAAGGCAAGTATCTATTCCTCTATTGGAAGTATGCTGAGAGGCAGCTGAAGACATAAGTAGTAACTTGAACGTCCTTATTTATAAAATCACACCCAAACATAAAACACCCAAAGGCAGCAGAATGAAATGTCAAGAGTCGTATCTTCTAAATGATTGTTCTACCAGTGACCTCAAACTCAAGGAAAATATGTCACTTCTTGGGAAACCTGGTCACCTTACATATTTTCTGGTTTGACAGATGCTTCAAAAAAGAAATTATGCTATCCAGTTCTTAACAATAGGGAGTCCCTTGTCTCTTCTCAGCAACCAAATTTGGGTGTCTGGGGAAAAAAGGAATATCCTTCTTTTGGTAATGCTAGCTAGAAATCTTGGCACTGATGTCCCAACACATTAAGAGGGCACTGAACTGGAAATGGAGTCCAGGGTATTAGTAACTTATTAGTAATCAAGGTTGCAAAGATAATCTCATAACTCATCAAAGATCCACGTGCCCCCTTGTTTTGCACATTTCTGTCTTTGATAGGTGGAATTTGTCCAGGAGTTGCCAAAAACCCAGACGGGGAAGATCCGACGGAATGAATTAAGAGACCAAGAATGGGGTCGAGTTTAAATCCACAGAAAGCGTGCTTTATCTCAACAGTTTTCAGTAGATGTCATTCAGATCTGTTACTGTTGAAGTGACCTGTTCTTTGGCTGGGCTTTGAGTATTTCTGCTGAAACCTACAGATGTCATACATTAAAAGCAGTCTTCCTTGAAACCATGCAGCAAGAAGTCGTGGATGCCAGAATGAAAGAGAAATCTAGAGGGCAAGTGGGGTGTGGTGGTTAAGGTGCTGAACATTTTGACTGGGGAGAACCAGGTTCAAATCACCCTCAGTCCTAGAAATTCATTGGGTTCCTCTTTCTCAGCCCAGAGATTCTCGCAAGATTGTTGTTGTGGAGGTAAAATAAAGGAGATCCCTGTGTAAGTTGCCTTGAGCTCCCGGAGAAAAGGCAGAAGATAAATCTAACATATCAATATTTCAAAATCTATTTCCCCCAATGGGTGTTACAGTCCATTTTTTAAAGAAGGAATACAGCACAACCAGGCAAATAAATGAATAGAAAATGAGATAATTGCAAAGATGTTGACCCTGTAAGCATCTGGGCTATCATCACTCGGAACTCATGGTATTCCTATTTACCATCATTCAAAGTTAGTCAGAATTACATTAACCATGAAATTGTAGGAGGACAACCATGTTAGTCTACGGTGGCTAAAAATCAGGAGGAGTCTGATAGCATCTTTTCCAGCTAACAAATTTTATTCAGACGTCAGCTGCAGCTCACAAAAAGGTACGACCACATACCTTCTGATTTATTAACCCTGAATGTTATTTAGCAGGAAGCATAAATAACAGAACTTGCTTTCTTATGGTCTGAAATCACCGAGACATTTCTATCTCGATTCACAAGCCTCCATTTTCGATACCTCGGCTGACCCTTTCCATTCTGTGGCGAAATGTTCTGCCTTTTTACAAATGGGACCAACTGATTGGACCTCATGCTAGGTGATGACACACTAACACTTGATTCACAAAAGATGAAACTATTGGTTCTGATGTTTAGACGCCAACTGTTCCAAATGTGAACAAGGCTGGGTTAATAATCATGCTGTAGTTGAGTTCAAAAGAATGCTGACTCACAAGATTAAGTATTTAAAAAGGTTTACTGTCAATGAAGTATTAAAAAAGGTTAGCTCAGCGCAATCAAGAGCCCAAATGCAAGATCTGCTTACCAGGTTCAGCGCTGTGTTATGCTGGACAGCTGAATATCTGCCACAGCTAAGAGAAAAATAAAATTCAATGCAATCAGCAAGGCCTCTTAAAGCTTCTTTCCAGACAGCCCTCAATCTGACAAAGGAATTAACTCTACATGCAAATCTAGAGATTAATTTGCAACCGATACAGCTGTTGTCTAATTCTGCATTCTGGTCTAGCAGTGACAGATAATAGCATGCCTTTCTGGCCAAATCTCTCCTTGAGGATCTTTCCAAACTTTGCCACTAATTGTAATTTTTCATAGGGTTGGAGGAGTAAATTAATCAAGAGTGGTTGTATTGTGGCCAATCCAAGGTGAAGACTGGGCAGATGCCTTCCTAGAGGCTAACCATGGTTACGGTTCAGGTGGTTGATGTTTTGGGTCCTTAGTTACATGGTGTCATAAGATCAGAAGCCCACTTGCATGACACAAGACTAATGGCTGATGAGCCCATTTTCACTAATTCTAATACGATTCCATATGGTTGGGTATAAGGAATGTATCTCCACCAAGCATTTAGGATGATAGTTCTGAGATATTCTCCACTCTTCATACGGTGTCAAGTGATGGGTGCAATTCAGGAGGGGGTTGTGATAGAATTCACAGAGCTCAGGAACAAACATGGCTATTTCCAGAACATTTTAGAACAAGAACAGATGGATCTTTTTGTGGTATCAATTAAGTTATTCGTGCCTTCCCCATTAAACCAAGACACGGTTAGAAAGAAGATCAAAGAAGTACTCACTGAAAAATGAGGCCTAAGGCACACTTACCCAGTTTTCAAGATTTTTCAACCTAATCCCTTTTTCCTTACAATAAACCTGCCTGTGCAGATTACGTGAGAATCATGTTTCCTTGCTTGTGAGTTGCTATTAGCAGGGTGACATTTCTATTTCTATTGCCTTTCCTAACTGAACCTCTATACATGCATTCCTATGTCCTTGCAACAAACCGAATAGCATCCTACTCAGACTAAATTAACTAATCTTTATCCTCACTCTCAGGGAAGTTTCCCCCAATATTTCCTTTGTTTCCCACCTGAGCAATGGAGTAAAGATCAGAATAAGTTAAAGGAGTGTGGGAGACATATTAAATAAGATCCCAAAGATCCAATTATAGAGTTCTTTTTCAGATTATGTCTGATGAAAGAGGTTATTTCCCAACAGCAGTCATTGGCCTCAGGCACCCAAAATCTATGCAAGCACAGGGGTCTACCCTATAATTTTCAAACCAAGCTCTTCCCACTTTCCTTTTTTGGCTTCCTCCCATTTTTCTGGCCCCATTCCTGAGTTTTCCAAAGAAAGTGTCCATATCTTGGTCCATCCCTACCTAAGGTAACTGAGTTTAGGAGGTATTATTTAACCAACACAGTTAGTACAATGGCATGATCCCATGAGGTCCAAAGTACAAGAACTGCAACATATAGTTGCATTATGGGGATCTCCTTTCCCTTCCTTCTTCCACCCTGCCAACACTGTGTAGTTATATAGTTTTTGAGTCTAGATTGAATGAATTGAAAGGGACATTTTTCCTCTTCAAATGGCCTAGTGTATTAACTCACTTATTTCGAAATGTGATGAATCAGCTCTACACCGTTTAGAACAGCCTGATTCCTTGTTCCACTGCACGAGCAGTTGGCCCCCAAACAATCATGACTCATACAGTGTTCATCTTAGGCTACTAGTATGCTGAGCATAGAATATCCATGAGATTCAAAGGGTATGCTTGAAAAAGATGTCACAAAAAGAAAGGTGAGGTTGCTTTGACCTTCGTTTCTTCTCACTGCATCCTTCATGAAATGAAGATGTCCAGAACTATGTATCTACTCCTAATTTTGGGTGTCTTCATTTCATGATAGTAGGCTACAACTGTAATAACCTTTAACTAAAATTGCATATAAACAATTTAAAACCTAAACACAGTAAGCCACTTTAAAACGTGCAAATGGATGTTAAGCATCCATCAAAACAAGGGATGTGAGTTGTAGCTGGGTGGCTCCAAGTCCTGGTTGAGATTAGTCCCATCACCTAAGCTCATGGCCATTTGGCATGCAAATTGATTTTCAAACCATTTTTGTAATCCTTTGGGATATGCTGTCAATGGCATGACTCTTAGGGTTGGGTGGTGGATGTCTACTGCTCATCCAAAATATCCCTAAAAAAGGCATCAGAGTCTGATCTTTCACATAGGCAAAAGATGACCAGCAGGTAAGTGGTCAGGGGGTAGTCCAAGACCACAGTGGCAAGGCTAATCGGAGATCACTGACACCGAACATGTTACGGCAAGGTGCCTCTCCCATTTGCATCAATGTTGTAGTGAGACAGATAATTTTGCATGAGGAGCAGAGCACATAAACCAACTGTATGGCTGACCTTAAGGTACAGGGAGATACTTGCTCACCTAAGTGTCCCTGGGCATCCTTGCCCTGGGGCAAGGAGGCTATGTGGACATGCCCTATCCCTTCTAAGGTCTAATTCAGTTCAGTTCTTTCAAAAGGATCAATAGTCATCCAATAGTGTTAAGGAGGCAAGAGTTCCTAGGTTAAGGATCCATTTGGACCAGGATCTAAGGTGGCATGGCCTCATTCAGCCACAAGAGGAGGTAGCCAAACTCTAGGTGTAGCGAAGTGTTAGGTACACATTGAGGCACTCTATTTATAGATCTTAAAAACTGGAGTGGATCCTCTGTTAATATATTATTCTCCAAGGAACATTGATTGATTGATTGATTGATTGATTGATTGATTGATTGATTGATTATGTACCATCAAGTCGTTTTTGACTCCTAGAGACCACATAGATAGATTTTCTCCATGATGATCTGTCCCTAAGCTGGTCTTTCAGGTCTTCCAATGGTACACTCATCACCACTGTAACTGAGACCATCCACTTTGCTGCTGTCATCCTCTTCTCTTTCCTTCCATCTTTCCCACCATCAGAATATTCTCCAAAGAGCTGCGTCTTCACATAACGTGTCTGAAGTAGGATCATTTGAGCCTGGTCATTTGTGCCTCAAGTGAAAATTCTGGGTTGATTTGTTCAATTTGTTTGTTTTCTTGACTGTCCACAATATTCTCAGGAGTCTTCTCCAACACCAGATAACTACATTTGCCAGTGACTGGAAACCCTTTATGGACTTTTTGCTGAAAACAGAAAAAAATGGACTTTTGATTTATGGGTTTCATGATTAGAAAGATAGAATATGGAAAGAAGGGAGCCATGATGTAACCTTAGAGAAGGAGAATATAAGTGCATTTATAACAGCTGTAAAGAAGATTGGAAGCCACTTCTTTATATCCTTTTTTCTTTTTCTTTCTTTCTTTGCTTATCACCTTTCTTGTATGTCCCTTTTTCTTTAAATTTGTATTGTTTTTACTTTGTAAAAAAGTCTTTAATAAAAATTAATTTAAAAAAGGAAACTTCTCCAACATCAGAGTTCAAAGGCATCATCCTATCTTGCCAAAGTTCAAATGACTTTTTGGATTATCATTTTAATGTATTTACTTTTGTGGGGTTGAATAGAAAATGCTCCATCCTTCTCATCATTTCAAATATGGAACCATATTTGGACATGACAGTAGGAAGATTGGGAGCTGAAGAATAAAAATCTTGACAACTTTTGATTGACACCGCCCTTCTTCTAGACTTCCTTTATCTGGAAGGAAGATAAAGGTCAATCATTCACAGTCAGTTTAGAAAAGGAGGGGAAAAAAGAGTTTTGCATTGTGCTGATTAATTAAAAAGAAAGAAACTTTTCACATGAGTGAAATAGTCTAAGATTAACATTCAATTACAGTTCAGGAACATGTAACCACCTTTCACCTTCACAAGACGTTCTGATTCAGAGTTAAACATTAATCATAATTTATCCTTCGAGTATTAAAACATCCAGTTTTTTCATGTGCATTTCCTCTGCGGAACTTGCTTTCTAATGAGGAGGCCTTTAAAACCATCTACACAGGTATATATTCTATTTTTTTATTATTATTTTGTAGTCTGAAAACATTTGCAAACTCCAGATGAAGTTTTTTTTAAGTGAGCATCTAAGAGAATAATTTGGATTTGATCTAGATACACGTGTGTAGGGGTGAGAGTAGGACGTAATCTATCCAAACATACCTAGAACTCCATGTCTTGTTAAAGATGGTCACAAAACGAATGAGACTGAAATTAATTGTGACTTTATGGGTACTTTTCCCAGGTGTTTCAAGAAGAGATTGAATTTATAAATTTTGCTGGTTCCCATCAGATATAATTTAAACTATACTTAAAGAAAATCATATTCTTTAGAGAAGGGTCTCTAACATTAATTTTTGGATTGATTGATTGATTATGTGACATCAAGTTGCTGTCAATGCCTAGCAACCACATAGATAGATTTTCTCTGTGATGATCTGTCCCTAACCTGGTCTTTCAAGTCTGTCCCTAACCTGATCTTTCAAATGGTAAACTCATCACCGCTGTAATTGAATCCATCCTCCTTGTTACTGGTTGTCTTCTTCTCTTTCCTTCCACCTTTCCCAGCATTAGAGCCTTCTCCAGAGTGCTAAGCCTTTGAATAATATGTCCAAAGTAAGATGAACCTGGTCATTTGTGCCTCATGTGAGAACTCTGGGTTGATTTGTCTGAGGATCTATTTGCATGTCCTCTTGGCTGTCCATGGTATTCTCAGGAGTCTTCTCCAACACCAAAGTTCAAACGCATTAATACTCTTGCTGTCCTCTTCCTAACCTGCTTCTTCAAAATCCTTTTGCTGAGTATCACAGGGAAGACCACGGCTTGCATGATTCTGATCTCTGTAAGTATAGACACATCACAGCATTTGAATATCTTTTCCAAGGCCTTCATGGCTGCTCTACCAAGTGCTAATCTGTGGCATATTTCTTGACTGCTGGTTCCTTTACTGTTGATGATTGATTCTAAAAGACAGAAGCTCTCCACCACTTCAATAACTTTATTGTCAATTCTAGGGCTGGTTGTTCTATCTTTTGTTATTAGCTTGGTCTTCTTTATATTTAATTTTAGGCCCATTGTTTTCACTGTGCTCCATGACTTTTATTAATACAACTTGCAGATCCTTTGCATTTTCAGCTTTCAGGGTTGCGCCATCAGCATAGCACAGGTTATCGATCTTCTTCCTCTAGTTTTAAAACCACACTCATCTTCTTCCAATTCACCTTCCCTTAATATATATTCAGCATATAGGTTGAATAAATAAGGGGAGAGTATACATCCTTGTCACACTCCTTTGCCAACCTGGAGTCAGTCTGTTTCACCATGTTCTGTCCATACTGTGGCTTCCTAACCTGTATATAAGTTTCTCATGAGGACATTGAGATGTTCTGGGATTCCCATTTTTCTGAGCACATTCCACAGCTTGACATGATCGACACAATCAAAGAGCTTTCTATAATCGATGAAGCACTTAGTGACTGCTGTTTGATACTCTTTGGCATTCTCAATTATCCAGTGTGCATCATCAATAATGTCTTGTGTTCCTGGCCTTTTCTAAAGCCAGCTTGAACATCTGGCATCTCTTTTGCCACGTAAGGCTGCAGTCTGTGTTGGATCATTCTGCATTGGAAGATCCCAAGCATTGTTTTGCTGGAATGTGAGATGTCAATTTGTAGTTGTTTCATTTCATCTTTCACTGTGTTGAGCTTCCCTGTGTTCATGTTCCTTACGTGCCATGTTCCTACAGTAATTCTAGCTTTGCAGCTTTGGATTTTTTTTTTCCTGTACGGCAACATTAGCAACTAGATGTCCCAAAGGCTGTCATGTAGCCACATCACAAGCACCCTTAGTACTCCAAAAGATCCTCAGTGCTTCCTCAGTAGCACGTTGAGTGCCATCCAACCTGAGGCCATCACCTGGCACTGTATCGTCAATCATTTAATATTTTCTAACCATGTGATTTTTTTGGTAAAATACAGGAGTGGTCTTCTCCTGCCCAGTGTGAATGGATGCCTTTGTCATTGTCACTAAAGTGGTCATCTGTTTCCAGCATCTTCCTCTATGGCTGCTGTCCCACAATAGATACCTGCTTACTTTAGCTGGGCAGCTGGGATGACCTTCATGCCTTGGGGGTCCCTGCTGGGAGTATATACTCTTGGCATACACTCCTGATGTTCATCGTTCATCCCTCCCAGGAACACCCTCACACCATAGTAAGGCAGCACAGAAGGACTCAACTTACTCCTTTTTTTTTAACTTTACCTAGACGGAGATATTCCTCATGGCCGGTGCTATGAAGTTTCTCCCCAGGCTTCCTGGGTTCAAGTCTGCCAGCACTCCTAAATTCCCTTGTAGATTCAACAGTCAGGCCACTCTTGGATTTTCACCTCTGGCCACCACAGATAATGAACCTCAATACAAAGATGTGCCAGAATATTTTAATTTTGCAAGTGATGTCCTTGATAAATGGAGCCAAAAAGAAAAGGTAAGATAGTGCTGAATTTCTTTCTAGGATTCTCTGATGGCGTATGGAGAAAGAAATAAACTTTACAGGCAATTAATCTGTCTCTGTTAATTCAGGCTGTTAACTTAATCCTAATAGAGTGAGTTAAGGTATCTCAGTTGGTGATATGTGAGTTTCATGTGGCTTTCATGCAGACCACTAGAGAGGAAAGGAAAATAACTATCAAAAGGGGCTTTTATAGGGTATGCTACAAGACATGGCCTCATTCCCACAACACACTTAACTAGATCAAGGATGGGGTGGGGATAGTGTTTTGGTGCCCTGGGGACACCAAAACTCTGTCAAACCTCCATTCTGCTTACTTAGTCTTCCCAGAAAATTTGCTAGAAAGAAAGAACAGCTGGAAAAAAAAGCTTTTCATTACAGAGCTCATGGCCAAGACCTGCCAACAAGAGAACTCACCTCGCAAACACTGATACACCACTGCATCAGGGAAGGGACTCTTGTCAGTGAGCTCATGCATACTAGGCACTTCCTGGAGAAAGTGGGTATGGAAGATGCATTCCCAAAACGGTGATCTTGAAGTAGTGAATTGATTTATTATTCCATTGTGAGTGAAGAGCTGTGGGCCTCGCAGGGTAAACCAGATAGGAATCACAACCAGATGAGCTAATTCTACATTATTGTAAGGCTACATTAACAGAATCTTGCAAGTCTGGAAATACAATTCTCCCCCATCTCCTTTACAGCCCAAGAAAAGTGGGTATGGAAGATGCATTCCTAAAACGGTGATCTTGAAGTAGTGAATTGATTTATTATTCCATTGTGAGTGAAGAGCTGTGGGCCTCGCAGGGTAAACCAGATAGGAATCACAACCAGATGAGCTAATTCTACATTATTGTAAGGCTACATTAACAGAATCTTGCAAGTCTGGAAATACAATTCTCCCCCATCTCCTTTACAGCCCAAGAAACTAGGGAGGGTCCCTTCTGAGCATCTTGCCCTGCCCATTATCCAGCTGCAGGCTATGCTGTCTCTTATCTGACCGTTCTCTTGGCAGCATCTCTTGGCCCAGTCTTCCAAGGTCTTTCCCACATACCGATACAAGAGCAGACTTGGAAACTGGGCATTTGTGAGAAAGAACTTCCTGATTTCCTGCAGAAGGTCTCAGGTTTCTCCTTTTAAAAGAAGAGTCACTGCCAAAGTAGACAAAACTGAGTTCATTGGAGAAATTATCCAGCCAAGAGAAAGGCATTTTCCTATATCCACAAGTTGCCTAGCATGGAATATCTATCAGTACCACTCTACAACCAAGTAGTCCAGTAAGGTTTACTGCTAAGTCAGACTTCAGGAGCCGGAGGCAGTTCTATTTCTGAGGTTGCCCATATCCTTTCTCCTATTACTGTATGACAGGAGGGGAAGAGGCCTTCCAATCCAGCTCTCTGGTGGGTTGGGGAGAATGGTGAAGAGGTGCAGTGGAACTTCCAGCAGCTAAGCTCCTTATCTAGGAAAGTTGCCAACGTGCTCTCAGAGGCCTGTAATCTGTACAAGGGAGATCGAATCCTCATGATACTTCCTAGGGTCCCTGAGTGGTGGCTGATCAGCTTGGCCTGCATCAGAACAGGTCAGTCAAAAGGGTGCTCCTGCCCCAGAGATCCAGACTGTTTCCTTCTCTTGCGGGGAGGTTCTCACAGTCCTTTGTTCTGCTTTGCCAGGCATTGTCTTCATTCCAGCTACAATCCTCTTGACTGCTGCAGACATATTATACAGACTCCAGCAATCCAAAGCCTGTTGTATTGTTGCCAACGAGGCTCTTGCACCATTAGTAGATGCTGTGGGGTCTGAATGCAGCTGGTTGAGAACTCGGATCCTGGTTTCTGAAAGCAGCAAAAGAGAAGGTTGGCTGAACTTCCATGATTTACTACAGTGAGTATCCCTCCTGCTTCAAGAGATATGTGATATGTGATGTTATATATATAAAATGAAAATCCTGGCATCTGTGCCTATCAGTGTCTAGACTCACATGCCTTAAGCTTTGTTATGAGTTTCACTTGAAGGCTGCCAAGACTTGACTTTGGGGCAAAGTCTGGGGTCTTGTTCAGCAGAACAGACAGGTGAGACCCCAAATGTAGCTAAACTGGCCATTTCTACTCCAACCCAGAGATTTCTTGGGCTAAGCTCCATACATCGCTTGGCCACTGACTCTGCTAACCTTGCTTCTTCTCTTTCAAAGAGCTGCATTTGACAAGCATCAACCAATTCAAACAAAGAGTCTTGATCCAATGACCATCTACTTTACCAGCGGGACCTCAGGCTATCCCAAAATGGTGCAACATACCCACGGCAGTTTGGGGTTTGGGCTGGGAATTGCTGCAAGGTAGTTCTGTGTGTCTACATTTGATCCATCTCTACTTATTTCTTCATTGATTGATTGATTGTTTATGTGCCATCAAGTCGTTTTCTACTCCTAGTAACCACATAATGATTTTTTCATTACCAAAAATGAAGAAGTGGTTTGGGGTCCTTTAAAACAGGGAGGGGGGAGTAGGATAGGACTACCATCTGGAACCCCACTCAGGTGAATGAGCAGTTGATCCCAAATGCATCAGAGAAAGTTCTTCATGTTTTGAAGCAAAGCGATATACATTTCTCCTTCTTAACATTATTAAGATCAGAATCTACAGTTACTCATTTGTGATGGTAATCTATAAAAGGTTAGCATTCCACTGTAGCATTCATCAAACCACACCTTACTATAATACAATACAACATTGTTATTTCAATCTTTGACTAGCAAAAAGTAAAAACATTGAGATTATCAAATTGAGAACTATAACACTAATAACCAATGTGGTTCAGTGGTGAAGGGGCTGGACAAAGAGTGGGGAGAGCCAGGTTCTAGTCCCTCCTTAGCCCCAGAAGCTCATTGGTTGACTTTGGGCCAGTCCCTCCCTCTCAGCCCAAGAGCCAGTCAGGTGTAGTGGGGAAGAGGCTGGACCAGGAGAGGGGAGACCCAGGCTCTAGTCCACCTCAGCCCCAGAACTTCCCTGGGGGACTTTGGGCAGCCATTCTTTTTTGACCCAACCTGTCCTCAGAGGGATTTTGTGGGGGGAAATGGGAGGAATGTGTGCTCCTAATGCTGTCTTGAGCTGTTGGAGGGAAGGTGGGATATTAATCTAATCAATCAGAATTTTATATTACACTGGAAATGGACCAACATGCAGTGCAGGGTTTAAATCTGCTAGGAAGCATGCCTTAAGTCCATTCCCTTTTAGCATTTGGGGTCCTGGACAGTCTTCAAGGGCAGCCTTCAAACCACACACTGCAGTAGCCTAATCTGTAAGATGTTAGAGAATGGATCATTGCAGCTAACTCTCTGCAGGGTTAGCTGCAGAGAGGAGAAAAAATATATAGCAATTTCTAAGGGAAAGGTTTTAATAAACCCATCTTGCAGCTTCTGTGATCTGACCCTTTTCACACTTGTTCACCCCTATGTTGGCTGCTATGTTCTGAATCTTAATGTCACCAACATTTCTCGTGTCTTTCTTATCAACAGATCATGGATGTATCTGACTTCTTCAGACGTTGTGTGGGGTCTTTCTGATCCTGGCTGGATAAAATTTGCCTTTGGAGGCTTCTACTGTTCTTGGACACAAGGATCGTGCATATTTGCACATAGTTTGTCCCAGTTTGATCCAAAAGTTGTTCTGGAGGTAAGAACCCAGATGCCTTATTTGGAAGGTCCCACACAGAGAGGCAATGATATTTGCTAAAGAGTCACCTTGTGTGAGATGGGCAGCTATATAAATATGATAAATAAATAAATATGAATAAATAAATAATAAATACATACGACCACTAATTCAACCCTCCAAACTCTCTGAAACATTTTTGCACCTCATCCAGTACAATTCTAACTTGGGAAAGTGCAAAAATCAGTATCTACTCAATGTCCCCCTTTCCTCTCCTTAGTTTAAGCTTCTATCCTCACCTTACCAGGTGTGTTTTGAGATTAAAAAAAGAAGCCAGACCTTTAGCTCAGTTTAAACCAGAGGAGATGATGACAAGGTATTACAGCACGAGTATGAAAAGGCAGAACTTGATGAGATAGGAGCCAAAGATTCTCAGACCAGAAAGAATTGCTATGTAAACATGGAGGAGATGTCTCTGTCTCTTAAGGTCAGGAAAAGAACAGCCAAAAATCCATTGATTCAAACTGGCAAAAAAAGCCTAGGGTTTAAACCCTGTGGGATGACAAATATTCATTTCCATGTTTTGCGCTAAGCAACTCTTCTGCATATTTTACATACAGAGTATACCTAAAATCAGACACCCCCCCCCCATAGACAAAATCAGGCCCATTGGACAATTTATCATATAAATTAACATTAAATGTTTGAATTGGTTCTTCCTTACTTGTTTGACTAATAATAATACTACTACTACTACTACTACTAATAATAATAATAATAATAATAATAATAATAATAATAATAATAATAATAATAATAATAATAATAATAATAATAATAATAATAATAATAATAATAATAATAATAATAATAATAATTGCAAATGGCAGCTTTACTTGGAACAGCTTATATCCTGCGACGATACCTTTAACACCATCAAACTACAACATCTTCCTATCCCAGGTCCTTGGGAAGGACTCGATAGGTGGAGAAAAATGCCAAATCCAGTCTAAACATCTGACTGACTGTGTAATCAACCATATAAATAAATAAAAGAATAAATAAGAAAGAAAGAAAAATAAAGTGGCAAAAGAAAACAGATAGTACCAATAGTAATAGGCGCCTTGGGTGCAATTCCAAAACATCTGGAGCACCACTTGAACACCACTGGCATTGACAAAATCAGTCAGTTGCAAAAAGCAGCTTCACTTGGGACAGCTTACATCCTTTAACACTATCAAACAACAACATCTGCCTAGCCCAGGTTCTTTGGAAGGACTCAATATGTGGACAAAAATACCAAATTCAGTCTAAACATCTGGCTGACTCTATGATGAACCATAATAATTTATTAC